CCCGAGCAGACTTTATTGCGAGTGCCCGCGATGAAGAGGCAAGACACTGCTTCTCCCCGGGAGCTTTAAGCTACCCTGGCTCCACAGAGGTGAACTAATAACATTGCTCTCTAGAGCTGCACTCACCACCGACACCGGTGGGTCTTGCTTTCCTGAAGTCACCTCACAGTGAAAGAGAAAGAGGCACCCGCCCAAATTATGTCTTCTCCTTCCCTCAAAGGGGCGACAGAGGCCCCTTTCTAGGACCTTCAGCCGGCCCGGCCCTCCCCTCCCAGTCTCGCACTGATACTCGTACTGCTCGTCAAAATACTTGTCGGAATAGTAGATCTGCTTATTAGCCATAACAAGCAGAGACAGCAATAGCACTTGCTCTTCTCACAAACTAACCACACAATTCGGCTCCCATTTCAATTTTAATCTAAGAGTTCAATGCTTATTGGTGGACTAGGCCAGCCAATGGCATGCTGTGTGGCCACGCCAGTGGAGATGGTTGAGTAATTTGAATGCTTGTCTTTCCACCAATCTCCGGGAGCTATTGTTGTCCCGAAAAGTGGGATCTTTACCCAGTACACACAGGGTTGAAGTATTCCTTTTTGTGGCAGGTTTGTGCAAAGCTGGAAGCTAGGTGGTATCCCACAAAGCTAGTTTAGCTCGGTACAAAAACTACAGCATATTTATATTGTTACATGATTAGCAAAACAGTAAAAAACCTGCCCAAGTTTACATTCATTGATTAGTGATTGCTATATCACTTGCTATTACACATATTTAAATTAGCGTGCATGCTCCTAGAAAGAGTGGGGGGCTAATTTGCATAGTTCCTCAATTGAGTCGGTGGTTGTGATCTCCCCCTGCCACCTTTGCCTTTACCCTAGTTATTGTGAAATTTCACTGACTTCATGCTGGTAGCATTCTCCTATTCTTGTTATCTTCCTTATGGCAAGATGTTTCTTTTATCAGTCCTTGAAGTCCCTTTTCGGTTCCTCCTCTGGAGGTTGGTGATTAGTAAGGCATGCAAGTTTACAACATCTTGCTAAATTCACACAATACAGCTAGTCAGCTTAATGGTTAGCATTTATCTTCGGCTTATGAATACCTTGGCCAAGAGATGGAAAAAATAACCAAGCTACTGGTCCAGCTTTGCGTTAATATATATTTATGCCCAGCTCTGGGGATGGGAGTTAACAAAATAATTGCAGACCTTGTTTACACATTGTTCTGTTTATGTGACTGCTTGGATCCAGCCCTTGTATTCCTGAAAATAAACTGATCAGTTCTCACTGCAGCATCTGCTGCCACAGTGCATGTGTGCATGCATGCATGTGTGTGTGCAAGAGGGTCTGCAGTGTGGCTGCTGCTGTTGTGTGGCAGAATGGGACTGGTGGCAGAGGAAGGCCTTGGCAGGGGCCAGGTTTGGGGAAGCTCCCCTGAGGTGGTGGAGCAGGTTTTCAGTCTCCAGCAACCTGTATGCTCAGAAAGGTCAGCCTGCACATGGAAACAGGAGGGAGTCTCCTATGGAGAGATGCTTTCTACATCCCACATATTTTCACCTCTGACCCAAAGATGGGTCAGCGCTGATACAACAGTGAAACAGAAAAGCTAGTTCAACATTATGACAGAAATTCTTCTCTTGGGCCTTGCATGTTGACATTCACAATGTAGAGAGGATCAGTTTAACATCTGTGCACCACTTTAATGACAATTTAAAAGAATTTAAGCAGAACACAAGTCATGAATAGACTTGCACTGGTCATCTGACCAAAGTAAATCCCACTTTTAAGCCATGATCCTTTACTTTCTTATAAGCCTCACATTCTCAGCATTACAATATTATTCATATTTCTGCCTAGACTCAAGCTGTATAAAGTAGGACCCAGAGAATATAGGCCAGAACTGCGTATAATCCTATTTATTTATGTTCCCACCATCATGGAAGCATTGTCACTTCATACTTAGGCTTATGAGCAGGAAGAGGGAAAAACGGTTCTAAACAGTGCTGGAGAAGTGAAAATCAAAGCTCCACACTTTCCAACATGGCATACTACTCTAGAAACCTGAAAGACTCTTTGATAACATGGAAATGAGGATTTATTTGGAAATATGTAAGTGGGAGAACATATATGGAAATAGCCTGAACTCCTTTAGCATACTATAAACTGAACAGCAGATGAACCCATAGACATGCAGCAGCTGTATGCAAAATACAATAATCTATCAATCACAAAAGAAAACCATGAAATCAGTGATTTTGCCATGTTTTTGTTCTGCCCTATAGATATGTTCTTCACAGAGCTGGGCAGACTTTACTTTCATGAATTGGACTTATCTTCTTGCAACATCTTAGTAATCCATAAGTATTTGGTAAAGAGTTCACATGACCAAGCCTTTGTCTTTCACTGGCTCATGGATTATTCACATCAACTACCCATTATAGTAAACAGTCACCTCAGACACATGGGTTTTCTTTATTCTGTGGTTGTATAATTAATTTTTAAAGAGGAACACAGTCACAGAGAATAACAAAACATCTGACCAAGGAATCCCAGACTGAAGGTAAGCACTATCAGAAACATAGCAATCAGACTAACGTTTGAGAATTACAGGTACTTTTGTGAATGATATAAAAAAATCAGTCATGACATGGTGCAGTTCAGGATCCTAAGAGGAGGAAGCAGGGCAAAAAGGAGAACCACAGCCCTGGATTTCAGGAGAGAAGACTATGGCTTCTTCAGAGATCTGCTTGGAAGAATTCCATGGGATGTGACCCTGGAGAGAAGGGGGGTCCAGGGGAGCTGGTTGATATTCAAGGATCACCTCCTCTAAGCTCAAAAAAGATCTATCCCAACAAGTAGGAAATCAAGCAAAGGTGGCAAGAGGCCTTCATGGATGAGCAAGGAGCTCCTGACTGAACTCTGTCATAAAAAGGAAGTGTACAAGAGCTGGAAACAGGGGCAGGTGACCCAGGAGGAGTATAGAGTTGCTGTCCGATCTTGCAGGGATGAGGTTAGGCAAGCCAAAGGCCCATCTGGAGTTGAATCTGGCAAGGGATGTGAAGTGCAACAAGAAAGGATTCTACTAGTAAATCAACAGCAAAAGGAAGACTAGGAAAAACATGGTCCCATTGCTGAATGGGGCAGGGGAGCCAGTGACAAATGACAGGGGGAAGGCCAAAGTACCCATTGCCTTCTTTGCCTTAGGCTTTACCAGTCAGACTGGCCTTCAAGAATCCCAGACCCCTGAGAAGAGAGGAAAAGTCTGGAGCAAGGAAGACATCCTCAGTGGAAGAGGACCAGGTTAGGGAGCATTTAAACAAACTGGACATACATAAATCCATGGGACCTGAGGGGATGCACCCACGGGTGCTAAGGGAGCTGGCTGATGTCATTGCAAGGCCACTCTGAATTATCTTTCAAAGGTCATGGCAATTGGGAGAGGTTCCTAAAGACTGGAAGAGAGAAAACGTCACCCTATCTTCAAGAAGGGCAAGAAGGAGGACCCAGGAAACTACAGGCCAGTCAGCCTCACCTCAGTCCCCGAGAAGGTGATGGAGCAACTAATCCTGGATGGAGCAACTAATCCATTTCCAAACAGATGAAGTACAAGGAGGTGATCAGGAGTAGTCAGCATGGATTCACCAAGGGAAAATCATGCTTAACCAACCTGATAGCATTCTACAATTATGTGAGTAGCTTGGTGAATGAGAAGAGAGCAGTGGATGTTGTTTACCTCAACTTTAGTAAGGCTTTTGACACAGTGTCCCATAACATCCTCATAGACAACCTGACAAAATATATAAGTGGATAATGAGGTGAATTGAAAACTGGCTGAACAGCCAGGCCCAGAGTGTGGTGATCAGTGGTACAAAGCCCAGTTGGGGGCAAGTCACTAGTGCTGTACCCCATGGGTCAATACTGGGTCCAATCCTGTTAAACAACTTCATTAATGATCTAGAAGCTGGGATAGAGTGCACCTTCATCAAGTTTTCTGATGACACAAAACTGAGAGGAGTGGCTAATATGTCAGAGGGTCATGTTGCCATCCAAAGGGACCTCGACAGGCTAGAGAAATGAGCAGGCAAGAACCTTATGCAGTTCAACAAAGGAAAGTGCAAAGTCCTGCACCTGGGGAGGAACAACCCCAAGCACCAGTATATACTTGGGACCACCCAGCTGAAAAGAAGCTTGGCAGAAAAGGACCTGAGGGTCCTGGTGGACACCAAGTTGAACATGAACCAGTAATGTGCCCTTGCTGCAAAGAAGGCAAATGGT